TGCGTCTGCGTGTCCTGCGCGCTCGCCGTGCGGTAGTCTCCCAACAGCGCGTCCACTTGCGCCGAGGTGTAGTAGGCCAGCAGCGCAGCCGAGATGGCGCCGGTCGTCTCCGCGTCCTGCGCCGTTTCTGTTCGGTAGTCTCCCAACAGCGCGTCCACTTGTGAGGAGGTGTAGTAGGCCAGCAGCGCAGCCGCGAGGGCCGCGCCCGCCGCCGCGACGGAGTAGCAGTCGGCCGTGATGCTCAGCGTGTCGTCGCCGTTCGCTGGCGTCCGCCTTGCCGAGGAGGGCGGCGTCCAGTGCTGCCGTGGTGACTGCGCCCAGGAGGGCCGCCGCTATCTTAGAGTCCGCCTCCGAGGAAGTGTCGACGGCCGACAGCGGGGCGTACGCGGTCAGCGCGCTGGCGTCCGCCTTGGAGGCCTGAGTTCCGAGATGGAGGCGTCTCTCGGCTCGCGAGCTTGGAGGCGAGCGCTGCGGCGGTGACGGCCCCCAGGAGAGCGTTGGCCACCTTGGTGTCGACCTCCAGGCGGCGTGATCCTTGCCGCTATGTCTATAGGGAGTGCTGGTCTTGAGGCCGTAGTTGGCCGCCACCGTGGCCAGCGTGGCGTTGTTGGCCGAGGCGATGGAGCCGTTCATGGCCGCCGTGGTGCTGTAGTTGGACAGCTTCAGCTCCACGCCGTCCGGCGTGCTCTTCGTGGCCACCACGCCCTCCAGCACGTCGAAGGCCGACTGGTCTGCCTTGTTGGAGAGACGCGTGGTCAGCGAGCTCTGCAGCGCTGCGATGCTGCTTCCGTGCGCGGCCACCTGTCCGTCCGTGGTGGCCAGGGCCGCCGCCGTGGCCAGGGGCGCGATTGCCGGCGCCAGCGCGCTGCTGTCCAGCTTTGAGGCCAGCTCGGCGGTGACCCGGTCGTCCAGCGACTGGATGGCGGCTGCGTTGTTGCCGGAGGCTGCCGTGTTCACCGCCAGGTCTGTTACTTGTGCGTAGGGCGTCAGAGCCAGGGCCAGCTGCCCTGCGGTGACGTGCGTGCCGTCAGTCACCTCTCCGTTGTCCAGGACCTCCGGGATGTTGCCGGTGACAGGTCCTTCAAACATGTTTACATATGTTTTCGCCGACGCCTTAGTCTTTGACCGATGGCGCCGGTCAAATCGTGACACAGCCCGTGGGTGACCTGAAAGCGAGGCCCGCGCCAGGCCCGCACCAGGCCCGCACCAGGCCCGCACCAGGGTTTTTCGGAAGTTCCGTGGCTACAATGATTTGACCGGTGGCGCCGGTCAATCGCGGTACCTGCGCACGACGCTTGAAAATTTCGGGACAAATCGCCGAAATTTTCGGTAAACTGTCAACAGTTTACCGAAAATTTCGCCTCGAGACCGTCCTTGGTGCGCTTGCCGCCACATAGCATGTGCTCGGCTACCAGGACATGAAGTGAAGGACAACATCCTTCACTTCTGATACCTGTCGTGTAGTGCAGAAACTATGCACGGCGTACATAGTTTCACCGGTCAAATAAAAAGCGTGCTACAGTCGTCCCCCCACAGGACAACTGGATTTTTTTTTCCTGGGAAGAATTCCGACCTTGGCGCGGGCTCGGCGATGCCGGGCAGGTGGCGCTGGCCCGGTGGTGGAACGCATTGAAACGAACCCACTTCGAAAACATAAGTGCCACTTATGTTTTCGAGCGGCGCGCTCGGTATCAAAGCCACGTCGGCGGGCTGGCGTGGCTCCGATGCCGGGCAGGTGGTGCGGCCGGGTGGAGGCTTCTATGCCGGGCAGGTGGCGCGGCCGGGAGGCTCCGATGCCGGGCAGGTTCGCCGAAACTGTCGGCTTAGACGACAGTGTCGCAAAATTTTCGTTTCCTGGTTCGCGGGGCCCAGCAACGCCCATCGTGACGCTGCGCTGCGGCAGGCGGTGCAGCTCTCTCTTTAGAGGGGGTTTCCCAAATGGATTCTATTCTACCTGACAGGCTCCTAGCACTCGTCCGTCCAGGTAGCTGTGGTTGGCTCGCTTGAAATGCAACCTGGAGCCAGTGTCGGACACTGCTTCGTAGTTGGTGATAACATATGCGACATCATCAGCTGCGTGCCTGGCACGCTCGGTATCGAAGCCACGTCGGCGGGCTGGCGAAAGCACAAGTGGCACTTGTGCTTTCGAAGCGGCTGGGTGGGAGGCTCCGATGCCGGGCAGGTGGCGATGCTTGAAAACACAAGTGGCACTTGTGTTTTCGAAGTGCCTCGGAACTGGAAACAGGCACCAACCATTTTTTGGTTGCTGCCCGCGTGGAGTTCCGCTGCAGACTGCGCCGCGCGAAAGCGCGAACACAGAACATAGCGCCTCTCTCTTTAGAGGGGGTTTCCCAAATGGATTCTATTCTACCTGAGAGGCTCCTAGCACTCGTCCGTCCAGGAAACGACCTTGTCCTGCGAAGGATTTGAAGTCTAAAACGCTGCGTGGAGGCGTGTGGCTGCAAAATAACGACCCCTAGATATGCGCAGTCACATTTGCCTCGTAGCTGCGTTTCTGCAAGGCGAGCACCCTCAAAAGGAACCCTGGCTTTTTGGCTGGCTTTTTGGCTGGCTGGCTTTTTGGCTTTTGTGACAATTGTTTGTGAACCCCTACATGTACCCTAGGTAGGTGCGTATATACCCCAGGACACTGTATAGGGACTCCCTAAGTTTTCATGTCCTGTTTTCATGTTTGCATGACAGAAGAGTTGTCATTGCTTGGTACACATGTACCTTCTCGGCCTTATGGCTATGTATCTGAGCCTTTCGGCCCCGGAGAAAATGAGATGGTAGCGGAGCCCTGAGCTGAAGACCAGCGAAGGGCATCCGGTCGCGGCGCGGCGCCATAGACTGTGGGACTTTGTTTTCTGCAGGAGGTGGCCGAGTTGACGCTGACTGGAAGTTTTGTGCGGCAAAGCAGAGGAGCTGGCACTAAGAAGTGTGAAGTGTCGGCATGGCTGCGGACTTACAGGCAGAGCTGCTGAAGAATTTGAGGAAACCTGATGTGTTCAGGTACTGGTCAAAGGAAGAAGAGCAACAGCACTTTGAGTCATGGGCATTTCAGTTTAGGACATGGCTGCATGCATTTGATGCCAGTTTCAAACAGGAGTTGGATATGGTGGAAGGTGCGCTGGAGAGACCTATTTCCATGGATCGCTCCCCTGCAGACACTCTTGCTCGCGGACTGCAGTTGTATGCATTGCTTTCAACGTATGTCGAGGGCCGCAGTGGCCAACTGGTGAGAGCAGAGCGGGGAAGTTCTAATGGTTTTGAGGTTTGGCGGCAACTGGTGAGAGCTAATGCCCCGAGGACCAGGCAACGTTCTTTGGCTTTGATGCAAGCCATTGTGCAGATGAGTGAATTTCAGAGCCTTCGTGAAGGTATTGCCCAGCTTGACGATTTGAGGGATCAGTACGAGCGTACAAGCGGCAAGCAGGTAGATGACGAGTTGCTTGTGAGTACTCTTGTTCGGTGCTCGCCTCAACGCTTGAGAACCCATGCGCAGTTGCGGCTTGAACCCACAACCACGTATGAGGAGTTGAGGGAACTGCTTCTTTCATTTGATGATGCATCGCAGGCCTATAAGCCGAACAGCTTCATCGAGTATGGCAGTGGTGTGGCGCCCATGGACACACAGCGTGTCGACAAAGGGAAAGGCAAAGGCAAGGGCAAAGACAAACAGGGCAAAGGCCATCAGAAGGGTGGTCACAAAGGCGACAAAGGCTCCAAAGGCCCACAGAAAGGGAAAGGCAAAGGTAAAGGAGGAGATCAGAGCAAGGGCTCTGGCAAGGCTCCAGGCCGTGGCAAGGGCAAAGGAGATGTATCCCGCGACCAATGCAGGTATTGCGGGAAGAAGGGCCATTGGGAAGCAGAATGCTATAAGAAAGCGAATGATGTGCGGGCTGTGGACCACACCCCAGCTCAATCCACGGCCCAATCTGCTCCTTCAGTTTCAGGGGCAGCGTCGTCGGCAGGTACAGTTCAGCGAGTTGAGATGGTTGACCTCACTGCTTTGGCTCTTGGGGAACATCGGATTCGCGCTGTTTTTCATGACATGTCGACCACGGATTTCGATGGTGAGTATTTGCATTTTGATGGCAGTTTTCATGGCCTTGAACAGCATGACGGTTGCAATGTCAGCAAGGTTGGAACTGACATGGATTGGTTTTTCATGGACCATGAGCATGAGCAGTACAGCGACAGCCACATCAACATGGTAAACCACACTGACACGACATGGAACAGCACTGGCAACGAACAGATCATTTTAGATTCTGGCGCGGATTTCAGTGTAGCCCCTGCATGGATGTCGGTATTTGGTCGTGCAGTTGATGTCGGAAGACCCTATCTGCGAGATGCTCAAGGTCGACAGATCCCAGTTCCAGAGGTGCGTGAGTTGAGACTCTTGTTGCAGGATGAGAGTGGAACACCTGTGATTTTGAAAGAGAATTTTGCAATTGCTCAGATTACCACCCCATTGCTCGCTGCAGGAAACCTGACAAAGGCAGGTTGGAGTATCCTGGCAGGTGAAGATGGACCATGTTTGAGCCGAGGCTCACTCAGCATTCCAGTGCATGCTCGCAATAGCCTGTCTGTCAGGGGACGCGTGTATCAGGTGATTGCAGATGGGGAGATCAACGCAATTGATATTGGCAAAGGCGTGGAGCTCAGAGGTGAGTGGAAATCTTATTTGGACAAACCTGGTTGGCACATTCTGGCAGATGGATCCCCACTTTTGGTTGCTCATTGCACACGCAGATTTCAGAATCCCACACACATGTTCGTGCACCAGCATTGGCCAGCGCGTTTGACTTTGGCTGACGTTGGAGAAGGCAAGTGGCAGGTTTGCGAAAATGTTGCAGACTATATGGACCAAGAAGACCCATTTGGGGTCATCCCCAACCTTCCTGGAGAAGGAGCACATCAGTATAGGACAACTTTGACTTTTCTTGGAGCAGTGCAATTTGATGAGAATTTTCTGACAGGCGCAGAACCCGTTGGACAGGAGGCACTTCAGGCAGAACCTGCACACCCGGCAGTGGGCCCAGCAGATGCAATTCCAGTTGAGGTTCCGGTGGCAGTGGATGAGAAGCCCAAGGTTGTTGTGAATGGTGTTAGCTTGGATGAGGATAGCACCAACAAACAGATGCGAGATGCTTGCAAATTTCTTGAGCTGCCCACTTCTGGAGACAAGGGCAGGTTGTGGAAGCGTTTGGTCGCCTACTTCATGCAGAAGGAGCACGAGGCAGCACTGGAGGCGGCTAAGGTTTTGTATCGCGAAGCAGAGAGAGTTCCAGAGGCTCGACCATTTGCAAAAGAGCCCACCGTTGAACAAAGAGCTCTGCATAGCCTGACACACACCCCAAAGGCTGACTGGTGTGATGCATGTGTCAGTTGCAGATCCAGAGAAGACAACCATGGAGAGAGGGTTACAGATGAGCCGAAACAAAGGCTAGTCTTTCAGTTGGATTACATGTTCATGTCTGATGACAATTCCACTGAGCAGAAGGCTGGATGTTTGACCTGCTTGGTGATGGCGGAATCTCAGTTTGGCAGTATCTTGGCGATTCCTTGCAAGCAGAAGGGTGCGAAGAGTCTAAAATACTGTGTCGAAGAAATTGTTCGCCATACGATGCTTTTCCAGGACCAAAGACCGATTTTCAGGTCAGATGGAGAGCCGGCAACAAGACAGCTTTTGCGGGCAATACAGACATGCAGGTCGAAGTTAGGGCTTGCAACTGAGGTTGACATTGCAAATTCGAAGCAGGCGAACGGCGCAGCAGAGAGAGCAGTCAGGACGTTGCGGCGTGGAGCTCTGACGCTGATGCACCAGTTGGAGACGAATTACCAAATGAGACTTCCTGTCACACACAGGTTGACTGCATGGGCACTCAGGCATTGGTCGTGGCTGCACAACCGATATCACGTTCCTCAGCATCGGGCACTGAAGCAAACTGCGTATGAAGCCATGTGTGGACAGCAGTATCGCAACGGCATTTGTGTTTTTGGGGAAGTTGTGATTGCAAAACCCGAGCACTACCACAAGAATCAATCCTGGAAACCTTGTGTTTGGGTAGGTCGCTCAACCAGTTCTGACAGGAACATTGTGCTCGATGGAGGAGGAGCTCATGAAGTTCGTACAGTACGGCGCATCCCTGTCTGCTGGAGGCCAGAGGTTTTGCAACTAGCTAGAGGGATGCCATATGACAACAAAGACAGTGCGATCAAGACAACGTACATTGGCGCACAGCCTGTTCGTATTGCAGATGCAGAGCGAGATGCAATAGGAGACGAAGCAGCTTCAGACCCTGAGAGTGTGGATGAGCCTGGAGTGGATAAGGTTGGAGATGAGGTTGCTATTGGTTTGGCGTTGGCGGTGAAGCCTGAGGGTAAGCAGCCCATCGTTCCTGGAAGGGTACCTCCACCAAAGTCGGCTGCGGTTGCAAGCACTGCAGGTCCTCAGGAAATGGTACCAGCCCCGGGCGCTCCACAGCTGTATTCGTCAGTGCCTGAGACACCGGTAACGAGTTCCGCTGGAGCGGCAAGTTCCTCAGCACCGGCCCCAATTATTCCATTGCAGCCCGGTGCGACACGTGAGGCTCCTGAGCCTGACGAGGAGTCTATGAGGTCGCCTAAGGCAGCAAAGACAGCTAGCCCGAAGAAGGCTAGAACTGAAGCAGATGTGAGGCATGTTGAGAAGTATCCTGATGAAGATGAAGGTGCATTTGATTTGAGTGATTTGCAGTTTGATGAGACTTTGGATGCATATGAACCCGAACCTTGCTTGCGAGAAGAGAGACCGCCCGAGTTGGCACCAGAGGAGTTGAAAGCTTTGGATATTGTTTCAGACAGAAAAGAGATTGAAAGACTCTTGAAGATGGGCGTGATGGTGCAAGTAAGCGAGGAGGAGGCCAAGGACCCCAAATATTCCTGGATGTCCACAACAGTGGCTCGAGATTGGCGTTGGAGGGAGCAGAGATGGCAGAGGAGAAGTCGTCTAGTCGCTCGCGATTACAAGGCCGTGGACCCTACAAGGGAAGGGCTCTTCAGCCCTGCTGCTGGCGTAAATCTGGCACGGGTCATTCCGTTTGTGGCCATGATGGAGCAGCAGCCCACGTATGTTTTGGATATCAAGGACGCATATCTAATGTGTGACCAGCCGCGGCCCGTGCTTATTTCAGCGCCGAGTTTTCTTCCTGAGTTTGCTGGACAGATCTGGGAGCTAAAGAAATTGTTGCCAGGACAAAGAGATGGTTCCAGTGTCTGGTTTGGCAAGGCACTAGGACTGCTTCGGGAGGCGGGGCTTGACAATCTCCCTGAGGCGCCGAATATTTTCCGAGGCGTGGCTGAGATGAGCAGTATCAGATTGACAATTCATGTGGATGATGTTTTGTTTTGCGGTTGCAAGGAGGAGGTGAACAGACTGCTGGAGGTTTTGGAGAAGGATGTCACTTTGGTCGTGGAAGGTCCTTTCGATCTGCCTGGCCAAGAGTACAAGTATTTGAAGAAGCGATACCAACTTACTGAAGATGGGCTGGTGATTCGACCTGACCGAAAGCAGCTGGAGAAAATTGTGGAATGTATGCAGCAACATGGCAGAGTGCGAGAAAGGCAAATTCCCTGCACTCCAGAGATATCCGAGGTGGACAATAGCGAGGCGTTGGACCCATATTTGCATTCCATTTTCAGGAGTGTAGTCGGACGGTTGCTGTATGTGTACCCAGAACTGCCAACAGCCCAATTTGCAATCATTCGGCTTGCAGGGAAAATGTCGTGCCCGACGGTGAGAGATTTCAAGCATTTAGAGTATTTGACTGGATATCTAATTCATGTCATGGACTGGGGAATCAAGTTTCAGCGTCGACCCTGGTCACATTCAATCATGTATGAGGGAGTTGCTGGAAATGTGAATCTTGAAGAAGCCATAGTGGTTGAATGCATTTCGGATTCAGATTGGGCAGGTTGTAAAACACTGCGAAGGTCCACAAGCAGTGGGATCATATGCGTAGGACAGAATGTACTTTTTCAGTATGTGAGATCGCAGAGGACAACAGCACTCAGCTCTTGTGAGTCTGAGTACCTGGCCATGGCATCAGTGGTTAGCGAAGGAATTTTGGTGGGAAAGGTTCTGAGCTTTCTCACTGGAAGAGAGCACAGCTTGGTTGCGAGGTGTGATTCTTCCTCGGCCAGGTCTCTTGCGATGCGAAGCGGTGTGGGTCGCATCAGGCACCTCAGTGCCCGTGTGATGTGGGTGCAAGAGTTGACAAGATCTGGCTTACTCCAAGTCAGGTCAATTCCAACACTGGTTAACCCAGCTGATGTTGGGACGAAGCCGTTGACAGCCAAGAGGATTGCGGTCCTGGCCAACTTGATTGGCTTGGTTGACAAGGACGAGACGCCCCTGGGCATTGAGGAAGCTCTCGAGGTGAAGGAAAAGATGGAGCACAAGAAGCTCATTCGCATGGTGGTGAGAACAGCTGAGCATGAAGCGCATGAAGTTCGGCAGGTCACAGCAGGTGTACCCACTTCAGCTCGAACGATGCTGATGAGTATTCTTTGCAGCTTGCTGGTGAGAGACTCTGCAGGACAGACATGCGTCGAGCATCAGGAGAAGCCTCAGAAGCCTTGGTTGGAGAGTTGGTTGTATTGCTTGTATGCAGTCGTGGTACTTGCATTGCTGAGCTTGATTTTGTGCTTGCTTGTGAAGTTGGACAAGAAAGTGGAGATGCAGACCAGCGCAGTTGCTAAAGCTCTCCAAAGGCGTTCGGACAGCTTCAGCCCCGAGCCCTCTTGGGAACAGAGCGGTTTGGTGTCTCCAGGTTCTGGAGATCGAGCTCAACAACTTGAACCGGTTTCTGGTAAGTTCAAGGAAGCAGCTATTGCCGGAGTTGAGTACCGGCCTGAGCACCCGCAAGATGAGACTTCCGAAGATGAGTTCTCAGAGGACTCTGTGATTCGTCGGTTGCGTGAGGATGACGGCATAGACCACAACACAGGTGAGGGAATTCCACCTCCCTGGGATGGTTCACCAAGTGAGCCAATGCCGGATTGGGTGCGGGAAATGAGGGACAGAACTTTTGCAGAGGACGCCAAATCTGCGCGTGATGCTTCTGGAGATGGTGTGAAGGAAGTGCGCAATGCGGATGGCGAGACAGATGGAAGCAATTTTGTTCTGTGAAAGCAGATGCCGAAGGCTTGGGTCAATGACAGAAGCCGCAGGAGGAAAAGATGCAAATTTGTTTTCACTGCAGATTTGGAGTTTGCAGATGAGACGTTTTTCCTTTTCCAGATGTGCAATCTGGCAAGTCGCCAGATGCGGATTTCTTTCCAGAGTGAGCCCAATGGGCATGAGAGGCGGATGTACAGAAAGCCTGTTGAAAGGCAAAAGCAGGTTCCTGAAAGGAACGCTCTTTTGAGGCGGGGTGACAATTGTTTGTGAACCCCTACATGTACCCTAGGTAGGTGCGTATATACCCCAGGACACTGTATAGGGACTCCCTAAGTTTTCATGTCCTGTTTTCATGTTTGCATGACAGAAGAGTTGTCATTGCTTGGTACACATGTACCTTCTCGGCCTTATGGCTATGTATCTGAGCCTTTCGGCCCCGGAGAAAATGAGATTTTGGCTGGCTGGCTTTTTGGCTGGCTATCAAAAAAAAGGCTGGATGGCTTTCTGGCTGGCTTTCTGGCTGGTTTGGCTGGCTTTCTGGCTGGTTTGGCTTGGCTTCTGGCTGGCTTTCTGGCCGGCTTGGCTGGCTTCTGGCTATCAAAAAAAGAGGGTTGGCTGGCTTTCTGGCTGGCTTATGGCTGGCTTCTGGCTGGTTTGGCTTGGCTTCTGGCTGGCTTTCTGGCTGGTTTGGCTTGGCTTCTGGCTGGCTTTTCTGGCTGGTTTACTGCACGTATCTAGGGGTCGTTATTTTGCAGCCACAAAATCCTTCGCAGGACAAGGTCGTTTCCTGGACGGACGAGTGCTAGGAGCCTGTCAGGATAGAATCCATTTGGGAAACCCCCTCTAAAAAAAAAGCTCTAGGGCCTACATTTTTGTAGGCCCTAGAGGAACAGCATTTTGTGGTGCAAAAGCTATTCCTTTAGGGCCTACATTTAAGTAGGCCCTGGAGGAATAGCATTTTTGTAGCGCAAAACCGTGCATTTTTTTAAGCAGCCTCAATGTCTCCTGCCAGCTAGTGAAGCTGGGCGGAGGCCGGCTCCGGCGCGACTGCCCGGAACTGAGCTTGCCCGCGAGCTCGGCTGAGACTGGGGCAGGGCCACGGGGTTCAGGCCCCAAGAGAAGGGGCGCGGTGCCGGACGTGCTGCTGCCGGTGCGCAGCGTGAAGTGCTGAGACTGACCGGAAGAGCGTGTTCTCCAGCACCCAGCCGGTGCCGCGTGTGAGGCTGTAGGCTGCGCCGCCTGCGAGGCCCACGGCCAGTTGCCGCTGCGCCGACTCCTGCCACCAGCAACCTCGCCCGTGGTGGGCGCCAGGGCAGCAGCCCCCTCGCCAGGCCCCCCGGTACTCGAAGGCTCCGCCCACACCCTCGGCGGCAACGGCAACCTCACCCTCCTCCGCAGCCACGGCCGCCGTCTCCTCAACAGCTTGCGCTGGCCACCTCCTGCGCGCGCTGCCCCGCCTCGTCCAGGAGGCGCTCCACGTCACTGGGCCGGCCGATGATCTGCGGAGGCCTCGACGAAGCGGGTTCCGCCGTAGGCTTGGTACCTCCGCGCCTGCTGCAGAGGGCGGGGGTTGGGGTCCTCGCTGGACTGTACGAAGTCGTCCAGGTAGAAGTGGCTTGTGACGAACGAGGTGGCCTTGCGGTCCGGTTGATCCAGGGGCAGCGGCTCATTCCGCTCAAGGTAGCCCACCACCTGCTCAAAGCGCGGGCGCTGGTTGAAGCCGTGGGCCCGAAGCGTCTTCATCTCTTTACCGTTGCGCAACTTCGTCCGCCGCCCGTTCCACGCGGCGCTCGGCCCGCGCGTAGCGCAGCTGGGGTACCTGGCGGTGCACGGCCTCCGTCAGCCGGCTCACGTCGTCCAGGTGCCGTTGCCCTTCCTGCGCCTGCCTGCGCTCGCCCAGCCAGTTGTTGAAGGCCCGCGCCTCCTCCAGTTCTCGGTAGCGCTTCAGTAGCAGCGGCTGCAAGTTGTAACTGAGGTAAGTCTTGCGGAACCACCGGAGCATCGGCTTGTTGCGGGGTTCAATGGACATCATCTCGCCTTTCTACCAGTACGCTTGCGCCTGTCGTCAACCGGACTGCCTCTCCAGCATGCGCAGGGCGCGCTGCTGCTCTCTTGTGAGCTGGGGCGCCTCTGGTGGGGCCTCAACCGGTGTGCCTCCGGCGGTGCCTCCGCCGGTGCCTCCGCCGGTGTCGTCTCAACCGGCGGCTTTGGCTTGCGCTTTGGGGCAGCCGGCTCAGTAGGCACGTCCTGCTTCGGTTTGTTCTTGCTGCCAGGAGGCCTGCCCCGTCGCCTCCGGCGCAGCGTGAGGTGCCTCCGGCGCAGCGTGAGGTGCCTCCGGCGCAGCGTACTCCTGCCCCTGCAGCAGGAGATGTTCTCACACTTCGCGTTGATCAGCGTGGAGCTGGCGAACAGCTTCTCAGCACCGCTCCCATCAGCGTCTTTTTCAAGTGCGAAGCGCTCTTCGAAGCGCTTGTAGAACATTTCATTCCTCGGCTTCAGGTAGTAGACGAAGAGGAAGCTGTAAGGTTCCCGCGTCGCCTGTTCGTACAGCCGGTACAGCTGCTCCTTCGGCAGCAAGCTCCTCAATGACGGCGTCCAGCTTGTGCTGGTTGCGCAGCCTCCAGCAGCAGAGGAATTGTGATGAGCCTCAGCTTCTGAAAATCCAGGTGCTGATTTGCATGTGTCGGCCTCGGATGAAGAGCGCCGTGAGGCTTGTGCAACTGCGGCGTGTCAGCAAAGTCGTCGATGACTACAAGCGCCTGGTACAGTTTCTTCATTTCCAACTTCTTGACGCCTCCGTGATCGATGCGCAGCGCGGCCTCGTCCCACTCGCCCCAATAGGTCTGCTCCCGCTCTGTGTTCACCCCCAGGTCCTCCTCAATGTACTTCTTGACGGGGATCCAGCCGTCGTCGATGTTGACACTCGGGCTGAAGATGTAAATTCTCTCAAAGACGCCGCGATACTGCTCCAGAACCAGGCTGATCAGAGCCACGGTTTTGCCCGACTTTGATGGCCCGAGGAAAATGCCCGTGCATGGCACCAGGGGCACCACGGGGTCAGAGGGCTGCTTACTGCTTTTCTCTGTCGTAGGAAACAGCTTGATCTTCCCCATTCCTTTGCGTTACTTCCCAAATTTGAAGCCGGGAAGCCGGGCGGCGAGTGTGGGAGCGACACGGGGTTTACCGCATCGCTCCCATAGTTTTGTGGGAGACGCAATCCTGTTGCCAGCGCAGGATCGAGTGGGGCAATCCTGTTGCCAGCGCAGGATTGAGTGGGGCAATCCTGTGCGCAGCGCAGGATTGAGTGGAATCCTGTTGCCAGCGCAGGATTGAGTGGGGCAATCCTGTGCCCAGCGCAGGATTGACGGGGGGCAATCCTGTTGCCAGCGCAGGATTGACGGCAAAGCGAGTAATGGTGAAAAAAACACTCTGTCAGCGGCTTGGCGAGAAGCAGGCCGCTGACGGACCTTCGGCGCTGGCCTGGTGATGGGTTTTTCGGGCAAAATAGGCGCGGGCTTGGCAGGCTGGCTCCGATGCCGGGCGGGTGGCGCGGCCGGGTGGCCTTGATGCCGGGCCTGAGGGGGCTCTTATAGGAACCTATAGGAAATCCATAGGAACCCACCCATAGGAAACCCTCTTCTTCTTTTCCTACGGACTTCCCATGGGTTTCCTACGGGTTTCCTATGGGTTTCCTGTAGGTTCCTATAGGTTCCTTTCAGAGCTCCGAGCTCCGCGTGAGGCTTCTATGCCGGGCAGGTGGCGTGGCAGGGTGGAGGCTTCAACGGCGCGGCCGGGCTTCAATGCTGGGCAGGTGGCGCGGCCGGGTGGCGCAGTGCCAAGCCGCCGTATGACCGTATGACCGTATGATCCGTATGATCCGTATGACTCGGCGGGCTGACGTGGCTCCGATGCCGGGCAGGTGGTGCGGCCGGGTGGAGGCTTCTATGCCGGGCAGGTGGCGCGGCAGAGCTTCTCTGCCGGGCAGGTGGTGCGGCAGGGCTTCAATGCTGGGCAGGTGGTGCGGCAGGGCTTCAATGCCAGGCTCAATATTGAATCAATTTTGAATCATCTTGAGTCAACAATGGATCAATTTTGACTCAATTTTGAATCATCTTGAGTCAACAATGAATCAATATTGACAGGTCCACCTCTCTCTTTAGAGGGAGTTTCCCAAATGGATTCTATTCCACCTGGTAGGCTCCTAGCACTCGTCCGTCCAGGAAACGACCTCGTCCTGCGAAGGATTCGAAACCAAAAACGCTGCTCCCGAGATATGCGCCGCAGTTTGGCTCCAGGTTGCATTTCAAGCGAGGTCAAGCTTTGCCAAAGGAAACCACTTTTCCCTTTTTTTCGGGACCTCTTTTTTGGGGACCCCTTGTTTTCTTTTTTTTTTTGTTTTTTTCTTAGCCCTGCAAAGGTTGGCTCGCTTGAAATGCAACCTGGAGCCAAATTGCGGCGCATATCTCGGGGTCGTTATGTTGCAGCCACACGCCTGCACGCAGCGTTTTAGGTTTCGAATCCTTCGCAGGACGAGACGGACGAGTGCCAGTACATATAGCACATATAGCAAGGAGCCGGGGGACTGTGGGGGTTCGGCGGCTGGCGTGTGAGAGGCGCGGCTCGGCAGGTTGGCGCACACGCCTCGAGGTTTTTGGATCAATTTTGAATCAATATTGCTGCAACGAGAGTCAACCATGGAGCAATATTGGAACCTTTTTGTTTAGAGGGGGTTTCGCTACTCGGGAGAAGTGCGGAAGTGTACCTGTTGCCAGATTGGGAAATTGGCCCCTTGGCTGGTCCACCATCGTCTCAAGTGCGTACTGCAGCGTGGTGTTGTTGGCCGAAGCAACGGAGCCGTTTACGGCTCTGAGCGGCTCCGTGGTGCTGTGGTTCGACAGCACGCCGCGCGGTGCTCCTTGTGGCCGCGTCAGTGCTCCCATGCGCAGCCACCTGCCAGTCTGTGGAACCAGGGCTGCTGCCGTGCGCCAGTGCGCTGCTGTTTAGCTTCGAAGGCTCTGGGGACTGGATGGCAGCGCGTTGTTGCAGTTTAACAGCGGTGCGTTGCTTGCAAGTTTTTGCCGCGCGGACTTCTTTTTTTTAGAGGGGGTTCCCCAATGGATTCTATTCCACCTGGTAGGCTCCTGACACTCGTCCGTCCAGGAAACGATCTCGTCCTGTCCAAGGCGCGCCGGTGACAAAAAAAAGGAAACGATCTTGTCTGCGAAGGATTCGAAATCTAAAACGCTGCGTGCAAGGTTGTGGCTGCAACATAACGACCCCTAGATATGCTTGCAATTTGGCTCCAGGTTGCATTTCAAGCGAGCCAACCTTTGAAGGTAAGAAAAACAAAAAAAGAAAAAAGGGTTTCCCGAAAAAAGGGAAAAGGGGTTTTCTTTGGCAAAGCTTGACATCGCTTGAAATGCAACCTGGAGCCAAATTGCAAGCATATCTAGGAGTCGCTATGTTGCAGCCACGCTTGCACGCAGCGTTCGAATCCTTCACAGGACGAGGTCGTTTCCTGGACGGACGAGTGTCAGGAGCCTACCAGGTGGAATAGAATCCATTTGGAAAGCCCCACACTCCGGGCCCAGCTGTACGTCATATGTGCTGTATGGCTCTCACAAGGCGGTCCTTGCTATAGGAACGCTCTTGCTATACGTCCTACATGTGCTATATGGAACGCTCTTGCTCTGCGTCCTGTATATTTGGCTCTCACACGGCAACACTCTCAAATCCTTGCTACACGTCCTATTTGCTGTATGGCTCTTGCGCGCCAACCCCCAGAGCTGTCTACTATACATATAGCATTACTACATGCGCCAAAACATTGTACAGCATATGTTGTGTGTAGAACGCGCGTCTCGATACCATATAGTACGCATAGGACATATAGCAGTGACCTGGGGAAGTGTGGGCTCCGTGGGTTGGCGTGTGAGAACCATATAGCACATATAGGCGTTTAGAAGGACTCGGGGAGTGTGGGGGTTCAGCAGGTTGGCGTGTAAGAGCCATATAGCACATGTAGGAGATATAGCAAGGAGTGTGGGGGTTCGGCAGGTTGGCGTGTGAGAAGCATAAAGCACATTTAGCGCAAAAATCAAGGACGCGGGGAAGTGTGGCGGTTGGCGTGTGAGAGGGTGGTCCTGGCGCCGGGCTCTGCAGGTTGGCGTACACGCCTCTTGATCAATATTGCTGCAACAAAAGTCAACCGTGGAGCAATCTTGGAACCTCTCTCTTTAGAGGCTAGTCCCCAAACGGATTCTATTGCAGGGAGGCTTTTACACTCGTCCGTCCAGGAAACGACCTCGTCCTGCGAAGAATTCGAACCTCCAGGTTGCATTTCAAGCAAGGTCGAGCTTTGCCAAAGGAAGCCCCTTTTCCCTTTTGTTTCGGGCCCTGTTTTTTTGGGGATTTTTTTTTAATTTTTATTTTTTCTTAGCCCTGCAAAGCTCGGCTTGCTGGAAATGCAACCTGCAGGCAAATTGCAAGCGTATCTAGGGGTCGTTTTGTTGCAGCCACACGCCTGCGCGCAGCGTTTTAGGCGACGACATCAACTACTACAAGAAGCTGGAGCGGCTGCTCTAGACCACCTACCCACTGGCTTAGCAAAACGCAGGCCCACAGGAGGCAAGCCGCCTTGCCCGAGTCACGCTCCTTGTGAGCGGCCTTGGCAGCTCCGCGGTGTGTACACTAGGTGGACTTCGTCTCAGTTTGGTCGTGGTGTTTCGTTGGTTCGGTTCGGTGCTGTTTGGGTTTTTGGTTTGGTTTCTTCGCTGTCTTTTCTTCGGGCGGCTGATGGACGTGACGTACATTCCGTAGGGTAGGTCGTGGGCTCTTTTTTCTTTAGTTGCCTTCATGGCTGCGCTGTCAGCAATGACCGCTGACGGACTGCCCTTTTTGCGATGTCAGCCACAGGACATGTCCAGCTGCGTTACCTCCTCCACCAGCAGCCAGTCTAGCCGCTGGATGCTGCGCAGGTCGGCCACGTCTCGTTGCCGGCGGGCATGGCGGCGCACTCCCCGCCAGCGGCGGCGGAATCTGAGCTTGCCGTCTGCGCTTCTTGCTGGCAGGGCAGGCGACTTTAGACAGCTACCTGCCGTGTGGGCGGCGCTGTAGAGAGGCGCTGCGGCACACACAACTGACTCTCTCTTTAGAGGGGATTCCCCAAACGGGTTTCAATGTATTTGGAAGGGTTCTGACACTCGTCCGTCCAGGAAACAACCTGCAGGGCCAAACGCAAGGTGACCCGCCCGGAAATCAAGGTCGGGGATAGGGTTAGGATCAGGGTTAAGCCGATCGAAAGCAGGGGCTCCTCCTACAGGGTCAACGAGATAGCCTGGAGCGAAAAGGTCTATAGGGTAGCCTCCGTCGAAAGGTTCTTCCGTAGCATCCTAGATTACGAGGCAATCATCTTAACTTGCTTCACGTGCCGCGGCGGGAGCGCCAGCTCGCGGCGGACCGCGCCACCATGTGGCCTCGAAGCGCATGCACACGCACGCACGCACGCGCGCGCGCGCGCGCGAGCGCTCGCGCGCGCGTCCGCTCGCTCCCGCGGGCCCCCACCCCCACCCCCACACTTGCACTGACACCTCGCGTTCACCCACCTCATTTCAGGCTAATGACGGTAGCACGCAAGCGAATAGGGCGCATTGGTCAGCTTGCAGCGCTGATCGCGCATCCATGTCGCTGTTTTTTTTGCCCAGCGAGCGCGGGGACTTGCCACTTACATTCGCAGCGTTTTGCTCTAGCGCATCGAGCTGCGCACGAGCCCCTGGCATTCCTTCCTTTCTTTTCGCCATGGATGTGGACTATGATGAGGAGGTGCCGGAGGCGGGGCGCGCCGAAGAGCTTTGAATTTCACAAAAATATTTTTGCTCACTTGCGATCTTGCCAGGAGGGAGCGCGGCCCGCTGGACGACGAATGAAGGCGACAGATGCATGCCATGCTGCTGTCTGTTCAAAGATGCATTTTCGGACTGCCAGGGAAGGGGCGGCGAAGATGATGATCGCTATGCCGGAAAGGTGAGAGCATGAGAGGCTCTGGGCATGTGCCCTGAATGGCGTTCGTCAGCCAAGGCTGGCAAGTTCGACAGGCTGGACGATGACGATGAGCTGCCCTCAGATTCTGAGTTGCCGTTGCGAGGACATTGGTTGTGTCATGGTCAGCAAAGACCTTTTTACTTGGGTGGCAGGGTGGGTATCCGCCCTGAAAATGAACTTTTAACCGAATAGGGTTTTTACCCAACATGAACAACATTCTCATGCAGAGTGCCGCGCCAGAAGTGTAGGATTTGACGGAGTCCAACTGGTAATCTTGTTTTTCCGATGACATTCCCCAAATACGGCCGCTAAAGATGCCTATGACTGCGTGGGAAGTCATAGTTCTTGCAAAGCAGACATTGCGTTCAACTGCCACGTGATCCCGTGGCCCTTTTGGCCGCGAATCTGTAATTCGACATGCTACACAGATGTTGGGCCGTGATTCCTATGATAAACAACGCAACATGAAAAACACTTGCGATATTGCGCCATGCAGATGAGGTGAGGCACCGAGTTCGGAAATAGCAACTGTTCTAGGAAAGCTTTCGGAAAACCGTTCACTAGTGCACAGCAGCTATGGTCTGCGTGTAAACGAGTATGATCATGCCTGCATGGCACGCATGGGCCGCATCGCCCGCGTGGCCTTGGTGCCTGGCGGTGCTAGTGTTTGCCCTTGGCAACTTTGGCAGCCTTGGCAACTCGGTTTGCCTCAGCCCCGATATCTTTTTCAACACGAAGGGCAGACTGCGGCGAGGAGCACCGCAGGGTGAGGCAAGTTTTGTCCCAGTTTACAGAGGTATGTCGCTGGTTCAAGCCGCACCAGAGGGTGGGTTGGAGCCAGCGCTGGTGGTTGAGTCAATTGAGGGAAAGGGCTTGACGGCCTGGATTGGAAGCTGTGAGACTGGTCCTCTAGCAGAGCTGCAACAGAGCAGGAACGGCTTTTGGCTCCTGGACCTTTCAGAGCTTCCAGAGCCACCCAGCCCAACTGCCATGGGCTTGCCTGGCGCAAGATGGGGCAAGCTGCGCTCGCGCGCGGGGGTGTCCATTTGCGGGGACTTGGCGAGTGATGACTATGCCGCGCTGTTGTCCACAGCTGCAGGTTTGGCAGCTTGGCATAGGTCAGTGCGCTTCTGCGCGCTATGCGGGGGCCAAACTGAGCCTTATCGTGCAGGCGCAAAGCGCCGCTGTGTGGCGTGCGGCGCTCGCTTCAGGCCACGCCTGGACCCAGCTATGCTGGTGCTCGTAACTCACCGAGATCGCTGCCTGCTGGGCCGCAAGGCCGCCTGGCCACCTGGGCGCTTCTCCGCGCTGGCAGGCTTCGTGGAATTCGGTGAGACTCTGGAGGAGTGTATCGTGCGTGAAGTGCGTGAAGAGACCGATGTGCGAGTGGACGAAGCCTCCATCCGCTTTGTGGCCTCACAGCCCTGGTTGTTTCCTCGCTCACTTCTTTTGGGCTTTACTGTGAAGGCTCTGGATACGAATATCAAGTTGGATGCAAACGAATTACAAGACGCAAAGTGGTTTGATGCCAGCTATGTGCGGGACTGCGTTCTAAGTCCTGCATATGAATCAGCGGCAGCAGAGGAGAGGTTTCACATTCCATCACGTACATCTTTGGCTCACAGCCTCATCCACGGATGGGTGAAGGAAATGCAGGTGTAAAGAAGCCTTGATTGAGCGAAGTGCCTGCTTTTCAGATAAAAGTAGACATCTCCCAGAGTGAGCCCCTTGTTTCAGACAAGCCAAGGACGAGACAGGTGCAGCTCGATCCATTGAGGGATGGGTCATCATTGCCGGCTGCCCAGAAGACCCGACCGTGAGAGTGCCATGGTCGTTTCGCTTGGGGGAAGTGATGGTCGGGCACTCTTACGGGCTTGACACTGAAAGGAATTTTGACTCTGACACATGTTGGTCGTGTGACTCTTGCGCTTTTGGCTGAACATGCAGTTTGGCTTTGAGCTTTGCCAGGTCGCCGGAGTGCATGAAGAGGCACAGGAGGCCGCTTTGCAGTCCTATCAATGCCTTCAATCCACCCGCGCGTACTTTAGGATGACATTTTTGAAGCCTTCTCCGAGTATGGCGACATCAAGAACTTGTTGAGTCCTGAGAGTGCGCTCATTTTGTGAGATGCCTTTGCCGGCAACGACTGCTTCAATCCAGCCAGCGGAATTGTTTGCTTGAAATTGAGAGTTTGCTTTGCTGAGTGTACGCCACTAGAGTTGCGTTAAGGCATCTGAATCTGGACCGTCGCACAGGCTTTGTCAAGGCGCCTCGAGGATCACAGCCGTCCTCAATGCTTGGCTTCCTGCCAGGGCTACGCTTTCATCGAGTATGAAAACAAGCAAGAGGCTGACTTTACATAGTGCATGGTTCTGCTCTCTTTTTTCCCACCTTGCTGATTGCTTCTGAGCGTGGCAGGCTGATGCAGCAATCAAGTCGATGGATGGAAATACACTGCTGGACCGACAGAGTTGATCAGAAGCTTGCAAAAGAGCTCGGGAGCTCTTCGTCTCAGCGACTTTTCACGTATTCGGAAGGACCACAAGCTGGATGTGCATTGGGCCTTTGCAAAGCCTGGCAAGCTGCAGCCTTGGACCGGTGACCCCCGTGACCCGTTGCATGTCTCCAAATATGAATTCAGGAAGAAGACACGTCGATGACCTTCTGAATCGGGCCAATTCACACAGGTGCATCAGGAAGCTTCATGGGTCGCAGATGGATTCCAAAGATTCAGAGTCATTCGTCATACACAACTGGTTGGTTTGCAAACGCCACGGTGTGATTCATGCCCAATTTTGGTGGCCCACGTGACCACAGCCTGGTGCACTGCAACATGGCATGTTCTGAGTGGGTCGGACAGACATCGATGCACCGTGATGATGTTGAGTGGAGCTCCACCGGCAAACTGAGTTCCAGCCATCCTATAAACGGAAGGCTCTCACAAGAATCAGCACCTGTGCATGTATTCGAGTATTGGGTTGCAGTTAGTATGGCGGATGCCACAAACAGGCTTGACTCTATAAATGAATCTTGCAGGTGCTGATTTTCTGCTTCGGAATCAGACCGCTTCAGCGGAAGCCAGCCTCAGAAAGCAATGGGGTCGTGCTTTGGAGCACACAATGGTGCATGGCAGAATATGTAACTCACGTCTTGGCAAGCCTTGATCTTTGCTTGGTCAGGCCCAGACGAAGGAGCAGTCGCAGTGCGTAGCTCAGAACACTTTAGTGAGCCTTGGCGACTGATCATTGCTAGAGCTTCGAGACCTTGAAGATGACCAAACCAGGCCAATCCACTTGACATTCTCTCATTTCAAAGATGCGAGGCACGTCAGTAAGCTTGCCATCTCTGCTTATGCCTCAGTTGCTGCCTGAAGCTGCGTATTGGTTGTGCCAGTTCGGGTACGCACAAACTCACACAACCACCCCCCCCCCCCCAACACACACCACACACACACACACACCCACACACCCACCCCCACCCCCACCCCCACCCCCACCCGCACACGCACACGCACACGCACACGCACATGCGCACGCGCGCACGCACATGCGCACGCGCAAGCACGCGCGCCCCGC